ATTTTGGGTTTTCATGAGCTGTATGCCATAATCATCAGTATTAAAACAATTAAAGACCTGAAATATTTCAGTTGGTGTGCAATGAATCTGAAATATATGAAAGTTTCATTTTTATCATTACATTATGGAAAATAATTACCTTTATCACAATATGCTAATTTTTTGAGAAGGACCTGTATACATATACATATATATATTTAGGTTTATAGCACTCTAATTTTTCTCAACCCTACATTTTCAACCCTATTTTTTTCATTGGCTATTGGGTACAATTTACATAAAGGTTGGTTGTAATGATTTGATTAGCAAATTAAAATACATATACAGACAAACTGACATATTCTGTAGTTTTGAGACGTATTATGCTTATGATACTATATGCTATCTTTTTATCCAATTCATTAGTCATTTCTCAGATGATTACCGGTATAGGCAAAATGCTTTATTTTTTATTTTTATTTTTTTAAGAAACCGAGCAGCTTTATAAATATACATATACATTATATCACCTTGCTTATGTCAGTACCAAAATCCGCTTTAAATGCTTGGAGGAGAAAACTGTCTATAGTGCATCTTTGATCCAGCTTCTTGTTTTCCTCTAGCGTAAAATGTGCCTCGTCACTTTTTCCCAGCATGTAGACAAGTAAAAATGTGAACAGTTGCAGTGGTTAAATGTTAACATCTACACCCCAAAACCTGACAGAAAAAACAGCTAAGAGAAACCCAACCTAGTCACTTTTACACTTCAAAGTGTGTTTACACCTCGCAAAGTAACACTGAATACTTTGAAACGTCTCGCATAGAATGCGAAAAGCTATCTAAATGTCTTTGTGGCTGATGAACGTCAGGAAATGTCATTCGAGTCAAGGTCGAATGCGAGTGGTTTTAAAATGCCAGAAAAATGTGGGGGTGAGAAGTTACACCGAGGTGAGCTTACTAAAAATCTGTAACCTGCTTAGCATCTCTGCTGGAGTCCTGCAGCTCAAAGCTACATTAGCTTTTACTAATAAAACACCCGAGGCTCTTAGTTGTTGAGATAAACTGAGGGTTATCCAGGTTTCTGTATTTGACGTGAAAGGAGGGCACATGGAATATAAACTCTGCCCCGTCATAGGAAAGTGACTTAAAGAGGATATTAATAAATCATGATGCCTACATGCATAGAGCTTGTCCATAGACTAGTTTAAGTTCACTTAGTTAGTTTTATTCATTAGATTTTTCAAAACTAGTTTTTATAAGGATTTTTTTCATGGAGTACAAGAAGGAATACAATTGAAAACACTAAACAAACATTAAAAAAAGGGATCAAACAAAGCAAATTTATAATTATCATTTATAGTTCATGGTCAGTTTTCCTCATACTCATTCCAAGTACAGGTATCTGGAAAGCAGAACTGACGGACAGAATGACAGAACATACACAGATCAGTTGAAATGGAGACCCATTTGAGTTATTCTCTTCCAGTTTTCAGGGACAGCTCAAGCGCTTATTGTACAGTCTCGTGATACCACTTGGAAACGCACACATTGCAATTTAAATTATCTTTAGCACTCATATTCCGCAGTCTTCACTTTCACTCATCTAAATCAAGATTGAGGAGGAAGGCAGTGATTCCTTAAGAGAGAAAGAGAGAGTCACACAAAATGTCACGGTACGCATCTCCACTGTCAATGTCCTGTGCAGTTTTTTTGGGAGTGGATAGGCTGTTACTGGTCCAGGATCATCTATCTCAGGTTGGCATTTGTATAAAAAACTATATAGGCGCACATGTAAAAACAAAGGGATTTCAAATTATTATCCAACTGAATAAAGAATGTTTTCATAAAATCTTCTATCAACACGTATTAACACATACCTTTTTTTATTTTTATTTTTACATTTTTATCCCAAAATGGTTGAGGAGCAGTTATAGTTTGCATCATCTATACAACAGGCTATAAAACACCACTTTGTCACAGTCCAGTAAGCACATATAGATGTGGTTGTACTGTATATAAACATATGTACTGTAATAAGTTACTTTTGCATGCATGGCTCTGAATGTTCTCCTTCTCGGAGATCCCCAGGGTTCTGAGGACACTTCCTCCGTTCAAATCCATGTGAAACAAAAGACATATGCTTTTGCTTCTGACAGAATGTGATGCCTTCAGTCAGACTGTTTTATGAGGAACTGCCATCCATTTACATCTTTGTGCTGCAGCAGCTTATCCAAGCAGGTATTAGTCTTTTCCAGACTCCCTTTCCTCTTCAGTGAGGACTTTGGCCTGGATTCACAACCACGTGCTCCTTTTCTCTCCCCGTCCTCTTCAGCCACGGTAAATGTTTGTCGGCTTTCTTGTATGAATTCATTTATGCATTGTGCCATTTTCTCCAGAAAAAAAAAAAGAAAAATCTTAACACAAACACAAGCAATGTAAATGCAAAGTTTGCAATGCTGAATCTCCATTTGCAAAGTGCATCTGCGCTCCTCTGTTTACATGGAACAAAGAAGATGGATCGCATTACCCTGGCCAAGGATTAAGTCACAGATGGGTTACTGTTGTTTGGTTGACATGTTGGATATGCATTTAGTTCATTTGTAAATGTCTGCCAGCCATTTCTCCATAGTCTGTTTTTTGGACAGGATGCGTTTTCACTTTTCAATTGTTAAGAAATGTATATTTCCATTTTCATTTGACTATTTAGAGCATTGTCTTGTGTTAAAAATGACTAGATTGTGTTCATCTTTATTATACTGTACACATGATGATGTCCTGATTCATCTCTTTGACAGATGTCTAAGTTGGTCTAACAAAGACCAAAACTCCATCCATCACACATAATACTCTTTGTCCTTGTTCTTCTTGTTCTTGGTAGAAGGTTTTGCATTGTTGACGGGCTTCTCTTTGACTATGGTGCCATTAGATTGTGCTGAGTTGCTGATGTAATTGCGACTCTCGTCGACGTGGTACGAACCCTCATCTCTGTTACGGTATTTGTACATAGCATAGAGGAGTATGAGTATACATAGTGCAGCTGCTGCTACGATGCCAACCACCATCCCTGTCGTGCTGCTGGACTCGCGGAAGACCTCTGAAGTTCCCGGGTAACCGTTCGGTCCAGAACCTGTTGGACTGGCTGCAAAGAAATACAGATAAATAGAGTTACTACAAATGCACTGTACTCAATATTCATTTACATCATCTATTAACCTAACAATTAAAAAAAACAACAACAACTGGATGTTGAACAGCTGCGTGTTTAGATCTGTATCACTTTAGTACAAATAAATGACAGAACCGATTTTCTATGGTGTCACGTTTGATGTCCTGATTCATCGCTGACATGTCTAAATTGGTCTAACAAAGACCAAAACTCCATCCATCACACGTAGAACTCTTTGTCCTTGTTCTTCTTGTTCTTGGTAAAAGGTTTTGCATTGTTGAATGGCTTCTCTTTCTCTTTTCTCTTTGCCATTAGATTGTGTTGAGCTGCTGATGCAATTGCGACTCTTGTTGACATGGTACAAACCCTCATCTGTTACAATATATGTTAGGGACGCACAATATTATCGGCATGGTATCGTATCGGCTGATATTAGCGATAAAAGTTAAATATCGGACATTGGGCATTCAATAAAAAAAAAAATCATTGATATAAAAGGCTTCTGTTTTAAATTAATTTTAATTTAAGAAACTGTCAAGTATATATGCACTACTACTTATGCACTTTTCACATGTCGCTTGTGAACAGGCCGAGTTTAGATTTGTGAAAATGTAGACATTTGCACTGTTCCGAGTGTTGTCATTGTGTTTGAGATTAAATGTCATGAATACATTTGACATTAAACATAATCCAAGTCAAAGTGTTACATCCTTTCTAGCCCCCTTTTTGCATCTGCATTTGGTAGCAGGCTAAATTGACAAAGGCAATGCAGAATAATGTATTTTAATTCCACAGAAGAGAAAGCTATGCAGTCTCTGTAAGTAGGTCTAGGAAAAAGAAAAAAAAAATCGGTATTGGTTATCGGCCAAATAAGTTTTAACATATCAGCATATCCAGATAACGGCCAAAAATCCAATATCGTTCATCCCTAGTATTTGTACATAACCTTCTACCAAGAACAAGAAGAACAAGGACAAAGAGTACTATGTGTGATGGACAGAGTTTTGTCTTTGTTAGACCAACTTAGACATATGCTAAAGATTGCTAGATGTTTGCTAAAGTTATGGTGTGCGTCAGCGTCTTGTAAACCTGACACAAAGTACTTCCCCACGGAAGATAATGCAGTTAGACAATGGGTATAATACAAAGTACTTCCTGAGGTAAAATATAAACTCTTGATCAATCACACAAATGAGTGCACAGCAAGTAATGTCTTCAATACATTTCAAAATACAAATCAAACTAATAGACAGAAAACCTTCCAGATACACACTATTACATACACACTAATACACAGTATTCTAAACATGAAAGAATAAGGCTGCTGTGAGGGGTTTTTTTTGTGTGTGTGTGTGAATAATGCAACTCTCAGGCCAGAAAGAAGCTTGTACCGGGGCACAGGAGCACAGTAACTGTACGCTCCTTCTCCAGACCACGATCGGAAATTAATTCTGCTCTACGACCTATTCTCAATGACCCATGAGGCACGATGAGGTTATAGACAGCCAGAACGTCAGACACGGAAGAGTAAAGAACACAAGATGCAACAGGCAACAGAAATCTGCTAAATTCAGAAGTGATACTGACAAAAAGACTAATGTGTTAATGATTCATGGAAGAGCACGGTTAAATGCTTACGGCTCATTACATGCTTTACAGCACAGTCATAATGAGCGAGCAACGTTTCCAACACTGAATACATCTCCAAGCATCATGACTGCATCACACACTCTGAAAATAAAGCCCTCACAAAGAAACAATTCTTCAGTTGATTCAGCAGATTGCGCCAAAGGCTGCCTCTTCTTCTGTTTCTGAAATGGTGCCGTTCAGTCGAACAGATTCTGAAAACACATCAGCCCCTTGATATCCCTCAGCCTTCTTGGCACGTATCTCTGTGTGTTTTTGTAGCAGTCATCATTTCTGGTTGAGCCGTCTTTGTTGCATTTGTGAAACCCAAACACTGGGAGCCTAACAGCTAGAAATGAAAGCACTCTGGTTACACTGGATTGAGGCAAAGATATCTGATGGTTTAATAGCTAGGTTTTGATCATAACTATCTTGATTTAGCAACAGTACACCCACATTTGTATTTAAACAGGGCAACGTAATACACACTACAGAAAAAGAAACTGAAATTCAGGTTTACTTTTTTTTTTTTATGGACTGTCATTTCAACCACTTTAAGTGTTTTCATTGCTTTTACTTCCTGTTCTTTGTACTAAAACATTTTTATTGACAAATGCTGTAAAAATCCTGTATAATTAGAAAAAAATCCACTAATATAATTAATTAAGAATCAAATTGTACTTGATAGGGTTGACATTTTAGATTTTTCTTCACACAAAGTGACCTTTTTACACTTAGATTAACGAAACACAGAGGTATTGTTGTTTAGGCCCAGAGGTGCTTCCAAAGTCTGTTGAGTCCTCAGACAGCAACAAACAATGCTGTGAGATTGCACATTAAAATTACATCGATTGTGAAGTCCATCTTTTATTATTTGAGACAATTAGCCAAGATCAATGCCTGGGAACGCCTTGGAGTCCTCCCAGAAGAGATGGAAGAGGTGGCTGTGGGATGATCGTCTGGGCCTCCGTGCTCAAGCTGCTGCCCCCGCGACCCGATTTCAAAACAAGAGGAAGATAATGGATGGATGGCCAAGATCAAACCATTTCTTTCACATCATCACTTTGAGATTTTAATCTCATTTCATTCAGATTATTGCAACACATTCATCTAGAACTGAGCCAGTCGTTTCTTACTCAGCTGGTTCAAAAATGCTGCTGCACATCTTGTTTGCACCAGAAACCAGGTGCACATTACCTCTGTTTACCTTCACTATATTAGCTTCCAGTTCATTCACAGATTTTTAAGTTCTTTTGTTTGTTTTTAAATTTCTTCATAGTTTCACCCTACATTATCCGTCCAACCTGTTCTAAACGTATACGCTCATTCAAACTCTCATGTTGACAGATCATTTAATCTTAGTGGTTTTAAAATCAGAAAGCTGTTTGAGATGTATTTTCCGTCGATGCCCCTAAATGGTGGAATGAGCTGCATTTGCACATAAGGCAGAGGCCGACTCACTTCCTGTTTTAGATCCTCTCTTAAAACACTTTTTTCTTTCTTTCTTTGGCTTTTAAATCAGCTTGAGTTGTTTCTTTTTTTATTGTTGTCATGACTATATTAGTTTGTTTTATTTTTTATATATATATATATATATATATATATATATATATATATATATATATATATATATTTACATTATGGTCCAATTTTATTTTCAATGTACAGCACTTCAGCTAATGCTGTTTTCCAAGTGTTTTATAAAATATCTTGATGCATGCTCAATAATCCAGGTAGAAAAATCCAAAAAAGTTCAATCTGGTCCTCTGGACATTAAAAAATAACAAAAGCAAAACAAAGCAAAAAAAATTCTAGAAACGTTTCGTCTCTCATCCAAGAGACTTCCTCAGTCTGAGGTGCTGTTTTCAGCTCAGTCTCTTAAATAGCACCTTCTTAGAGTGGAAGATGAACTGTTTTATAAAATGTTTGATTATATTGTACATAGAGGATTTAGACTTTTGTTCCATAAATCAGGGACAAAGTCAGAAAACGTGAAGCCTTCTCCAACTCTACGTCCTGCTCAGACGTATAATTCACCACAATTACACTAACTTTATTTAAATTTGATTGTGCTGCACTGCAATTTGGTTGAGTTAGATTCCAATTTGGCTGAAAATGCACAGGAACAAGAGCTAATGACAATTGTAGTAACACCAGCATTTTGAACAGTGCTTTAATCATATAAACAAACAAGTTCAACTGACATATTTAAGCAAATTTACAAATTAAAAAAGTATTAATTATTTAATAAATAATTGCACGGGTGCTCCATTCTGCTGTTCATTTAGGTATTTAAAATATGATTGTACATTTTAGCTTTGATATCAAACCATCTCCGAGAGAAATTTTGCTCAAAAATTGAGAGGAAAAAAAAAAAAAGTCTCTTCATTATTCGAATCCTTTGATCTTGGCTAGTCAAAGCAACATTTCCACATGAGTGAATTTCTCCTGCTAGAATCAAGTATCCTCAGAACAAAGCAACTTTCTTACATCAAAGTAAAAAGCAAAGACAAAAAAATAAAATTTTGCTGCAGTTGATGCATGTCATAATCACTTTGTCTCATTTTCCTACATCCTGATTTTATGACTAACTGCAAACTTTTCTCCTTGATTTACAACAACTCACACTGAGCAACTATTCTGGAAACCACAGAAACAGTTTGTACAACAATCACATTTAGGTTGTTTTCACACCTGATAGTCCAGTAGACTCGGTTCGGTTGGGGACCAATATTCATAGCATTTTGTTTACATTTGAGCTGTTGCGTTTGCATTCACACTACACTGTGCAGTCGAGCCAACCTGTTCCTCCCACTCGCCTGTGGTGGCGCTGCACCAAGAACTACTGAAAAAAACGACACAAAAACCTCTCAAGAAGACACTTCTTCCTCTTCTGGAAATAAAAACAAAAAAACGGAGTGGCGTCTAGTTTTATCGGTTTTAGGATCTCCATTTTGTCATTTTTCAACCATGGACTCAGCATGAGTGGAAGATGAGGTAGAAGACCATGGAGAATGTTGTTTTTCACACAAGGCAAGCTGACAGCTCCATATGAGGTAAGAGAATTCAATTGCGTGCTTGTTTGCCCTGCGTTGTAGTCCTGTTCCTGCTTGTGGAGCAGTGCCCGTTCTGCTTACATTCACACTGTACTCGAACCGCGCTCGAGTTTTCTTCTACCGGACCGAGACCTAGGTTTTAGCCCGGGCCAGAGTTTGCCTTTTTGTTCCGTGACAGAGTTCAATAGTGAGTTCACACCTTCCCAAATGTACCGGACTTCCAAGGCTAGAGTTCGGGATAACAAGGCTGGTGTGAATGCACCCTAAAAATCTTGGATTAAACTGGAAGTA